AGAGAGAGAGAGAGAGAGAGAGAGAGAGAGAGAGAGAGAGGGCAGGGCAGAAAGATCCTCTCCCAGGGGGAGGGGAAAGGCCGACAGTGTCAACAACAGCCACAGGGGCTTGCTGGAAAGATGCATGGTACCGGTAGGGGCATATGGGAAATGCTTGTGCTGGTTCTCAACAGCTATCCGGCACGGGCATACTGGAAATTTGGGAGAGGTACAGGTAGGGGCATATGAAACATGTTTCAGGCCCAAACGACGCCATATCACCTCGTTAAGTAGGTTTTCCCACATATGAAGTTTCTGCTCACTGTTTGGATGTCGAGTTGGGGTTTACCGGTAATCTTGTTCATATGATAGGGACGCTGGACCCGTTTTCCAGCAGGAGTAGCTCCCCGCCAATAGATAGGAGCCATCCGACTGGCAAGCCCTCAATCCTGGTGGTTCGCTCACCGCCACCAGGATAGAGGCCTTGCAATCGGATGTGTTGTCAAAAAAAGAAGGAATAAGGGTCTCGTTAGACACTCCTAAAAGAATCCTAGACTTTTTAGGACAAGTCCTAAAGGTTTGTAAGGATTTTGTGCGGAGTGGTTGCACGCAATCCTAAAAATCGTCTTTTAGGACTCGTCCTAAAACTTGTCCCGCGGCCTCTTTTCATATGCGTAAACGCAGCCACGTCGTGGATGTCCGTCCACTCGTGGGTGGTGTCCGTGGTACACAGCGCGATAGGCCGTCGGCGTGTAGGTGTCTTCGGTGGGAAGCGCGCGTATCGTGGACGTCGAAAGGGGGGGTTGGTTTTGGCTGGCGTAGGACTGGCAAGCGACGCAGAAGACGTACGAAAGACGGCGCTGGCAAACCTTCCGCCGTGGGTATTCATCTGTGGACAGTGTGGAGTGTGCGCGAGTGGTGAGCACGGGGCGCATGTGGGGTGGCGGCGCAACTTGTCCTCCTGCGGTTGGGCTGTCTTCCACCATCGTCCGCGAGCGTGCACATCCTGACGTCGGGCTAGCGTGTTGTCTTCCACCAGCGTCGACCACCGGCGCACGTCGTCCTCCTCCTCCGCTTCGCGCTAGCAAGGCAACGGTCGACTACGGAAGCCCGGCTACCCTCGGTCCTCCCCCCCGAACGGCAGTGCACCACCCCCGCCAAGGGCTACCGTTCGTGGCCGTTGGCCCCATCCGCCCACCGAATACCTCCGATGTCCGACCCCTGGACCGACGGCCCAGTTCCGCACCAGCACTTCCAAGACGACGGTGTGGTGTGACGAACTAGCTTCTGCAATGCGCGACTTTCTGCGCGAAGTGCTAAACGGCGTCCCACGTCGATTGGACGGGTCGATGGAAAATTGCATGTGTGTCCTTGCTTTCTTCGTTGTTTCTTCGTTCGCACACGAGCCCCTGATGACAGTTGGGGACAATTCGGGAATGCACGGGGAAAAGGGGGTGAAACTTGGCCGGATGGATGCGGAGTGCGCGCCGAGTGCGCGATTAATAAACGTTGACGTCGCTTCTTTTCTTTCGTTTCCCTTCTTTTAATTTTGTTTTGTCGAACTTTTGGGCGCGCAGACATCGCGCGAGAATTTCGGTGTCTCTTTTTGAATTTCCTTCTTGAATTTTCGTTTTAAATCTTGGTCAGAGCCATACGGCCTTCGGAATTTTGATTTTCTTTTTCGAACCTTTTCATCGGCAGGCTAGCCAGGAATTTTGGAATTTTGGAATTTCTGTTTTTCTGGGGCGCTGCTTTGCGTGTTCGCGCGCTCTTTCTTGCTGCTGCACCAGGACCTTGATTGATTGACGCCTTAATCCTTTTGCAACTGTAATTTTGGGCGCACACTTTTGTAACTGTATCTTTCTGTTTCTTGCTTCTTATTCTTCCCGCCTCGTTTCTTCCTCTCTCCCCTCCYTTGCTRGGTAGYCGCGTTTGCATGTTCGGATCGATGCGTGGAGTTGGGTACGTCCCCCACGCCGCGGCCCGACCGTGCAAACGTAAGCACTCCCTTTCTCCCATCTATCTACTTCCTTGTAATTCCGTATTCTTCGCGCATGCATGCACGCTATAAATTCCGGCTGCGCGATTAACCTTCTCCCTTAACAGTTGCTGGAAGCTCGGGGTTGCGAGATCGAGAGGGTCGGCACACGAGCGAAGTAAGAGGTGAGTGAAGTGGGAGTCGGGCGACCAAACGAGCTGGTGCCGAATGCGCGGGGTTGACGCGGGCCACGACGGACTGTGGGCACGGAGCGAACCTGACGGGCGCAGGAGGACTAAGTGGGGTAACGGCTTCATGCGTTGATGCGCGACGACGGACTGTCGGCATCGGGGAGAGAGAGAGAGGAGAGAGAGTTGAAGTCGAAGATGGACATGGATTTGCGCTTTTCTTTTCGGTCCCTTTTTTATCTATGTATATAAATTTTGGTGTCGATTACGGGCAACTCGCCCTTGTCTTTGCGGCCATATACTCGTCCTGTTGTTCGATTTGATTCTCCTTTTTTTTTTGTATCGATGTGGATGGTTCGCGCACCTTCGCATTTTCATTTCTGATCGTTTCCCTTTGAACCCTCGTGCATAATGAATGAGAATGGGGATTGCATGTTGGCGTGATCAGTAGAGTGTGTTGGCTTGTCGAATCTTACGGGTAGTCTGGAGCGCACCATCCGACGTGCCATATGGGCACCTGCAAGTGCGATCCGAATGGAGCGCGGCTTACATGTGTCCATACCACTCGGACTCGCCAATCGCGTCCTGGCTAACACCCGTAGTCAGCCCATCACTGAAGTAGGAGTTGACGTGAACCGGGATCGGGTTACCCATCACGCGTAAGTGCGCGTAAGTGCGACTTGTTCGCATCTCTCTTACGCACTTACGAGCGGTGATCTCCCCGATTAACTTATCCCCCAAGGCGYGAGTGATGAAAGAATGACGAGCTCGCGGAGTTCCRACGTATCTTGGAATTCCGGGGATTAYGAGTCRTATTTCGGGTACCGGKAAATCTAGGAAGAAGAACAACTCCGATTACGGGGAAATTTGAGAAACCCGGTGTTCCCCTGCCTCACGRAAAACGATAGATTYTGCGCTAGGGAATWMCATCTCGCCGTGCRAAGCGACCCACGGATACCCGACTACCCAAACACGTACAACACGCAGTATTTCATAACMCCCGGCTTYRTCCTTWTCACCACTAATTTYCCGCCATACCACCTCCTCCTCCCCTATCATCAGCTTACAGTAGTACCGTGGAATTCCATAGCGCCTTATTGGCCCTCCACCCCGCGCAGAAGCTGCAGCCGACGTGCCCATACCCGARCCCCCGGAGCCTCRGCATCTAGGCATAGTTCCCACCAACCCACGMCACGTGGCGGACCCCGAAGGCGTGGGCCCCAAGGACCGCTTCGACAGGCTCCCCAGAACTGGCGATCACGTCAGGATCGGACGGCCCCGCACAACCAGCGTGCAAGCCCGCGCCCGTAAATTTTCCCAGTGCTCTATTGCATCTCTGCCCCTGAACTCAGCCACAGAAGATCCCAGTTCCGACCTGGGACTTCAACCCCTACTTTCCCAAAAATCCTTGGCACACCCCTCTTCGCACTTCCAGGCCCCCATCCCACTCCGATCAGGAAGTCGCGTCGGGCGTGAGGTTGGTATCGGAGCCCGACATGTGGCTAAGCGATAGGGTCTGTAGACTCAATATTGGCTAAGGCGAGGCGATCCGGCTCCACGTAGGCGCCCTTCAGCTGGGGATACACGCCGACGCAGTCCTGTAGCTACACGAAGCCGAACGTCCGCCACAAGGCGAGCAGGCGCCATGGCTGCGGCCGTTGCTGCAGCAGCCGCTGCGGTGGTCAACCCCAATCAACAGCCTAACCTGCCTGCGCCGCCTGCACGAGTCCCTGCGGCTCCACCAGATCTTTATTTATTTGATCCAGCCCACCATCTCGCTGAAGCATGGTTAGCCACGCTCCGAGCTCATCGGTATACGAACGATGAAGCTCAGATCAACATCCCCGCGCGGATGGGAGGGGACGCCCATCATTGGTATAACACTTATGTATGGGTGGATCTTCCCACATTCGAGCGGGATTTCATGAACCACTTCGATTATGTTCACCCCGAACAAGCACTCTATATGATCAAGGATCGAGTCCAGAAACCACTCGAATCCATTAGCGAGTATCGGAACAGATTTCATCGAATGTTTGTAAAGACTGAGCGAGGCGAGCAGGTAGGCCGGGACCTGTTCATTGATGGACTACGTAACAGAACGGTTCAGGGGAAGCTACGTAAAAACTTCTCTCCCATTAACCACACGCTGCAATAAATTATGGACGCTGCCGAAGATATGGAGTGGAAGTTCGCAGCTAGCTTCTTAGAAAATGAGGATTATGGTAGAGAAGGAGACTCGTCAGAACTTGTGAAAGCAAGGGCGGTACTGGCACTGCAAAACAAATTTGAAAACATGGGATTTGTAGCCGGACCCGTTACGTATGTAGAACAAGTGACATCGAGGACCGTACCATGGGGAGCGACTGTAAACAAGCAGATCCCGGTAATGGCGTCCCCAACCGTAACTCAGCCGCCTCCATCGCCACCCACCATCGAGACACCCGCAAGAGCGAATGAGTCTGCTGCTATCTTGGAGCTAACTAAAACATTGGTTAGTCTAATCCAAGAAAGCAAGAAGGAACAGCGAGAGCACAACGCCCGATTAGAAGCTATGATGCGGAATATGCGACCCATTGCGGTGCGAGCACCAATGCAGGGAGGCATGGCTGCTGCACAAGTTGCAGCGGGGCCAACTGGGACAGCGGCAAATGTCTGTTTTACATGTCATCAACCGGGACACTTGGCCCGAGATTGCCCCCATCGGGCCATGCAGCCTCGAGCCGGGGTCGCGCCTGCAGCTGCAGCCCCCATAGCTAACGACCCGGGACGTGTAGGAGCCGTGATGGATGATCAGGGGGGGAGTAATGGAATGATGATTTCCAGTGAGGAAGCAGCCGAGCTTATCCCGCTGGAGCAGTATGTATCACTAGGATACCCGGGGCTGGGAATGATTGGGACAATCCGACCGGAACTCGAGTCCAGAGATGTTGCCGAATGGCGACCTTCGTCGAGCGAAACGGAGACGGGAGGCCCTACCTTTGTTACGGGGGAAATCGATATCCTTGATGTTACCCGAGCACTGGATCATCGAATCCCTCTCCCAATCGGCCACCTACTCTCCATTTCGGAACACGCGAACGAACGTATGATGCAGCATTGCAAAGCGAACCGGAAGCGATTCGCCCTTGCACGCGCTCAGAAGGCGAAGGCGCCGACTTCGGAGGAAAAGGCGGACGTCGCCCCTGACCCCATCCGAGTCGGATTGATACAGAAAGATGACCACTTTCTTCGGATCAAGCCGATTCCGTAGAAGTCAGCCGAATGTGATATTGAAGTCTGGGGAATGCCGTATAGTGCGATCATAGATTCGGGAGCGGCTGTCCTAGCGATATCACTCCGAGTAG